CTCGATACAGACATACTTTGTTTCATTTTTTTTTTATAGAAAAAACTTCTCAAACTGAAACACTTCACATTATGTTCATATCCACGTACACTTGTTTATCATAATCGAATTCTCCCATTACTGCAACGAATGATAAATCTGGAAGAGTTGATATTATTTCTTTCCATAATAAGAACTGACTCAAATTATATTGATGGTATTCAATTATATAACGATATTCTTATTTATATGCCACAATTGAACAAATTCACTTTCAATATAGACACAAGTATAGTTAAGAAGAATATTGGAATTGCTCTTTCATCGAATGAAGATATTCAGCGTAGTTTCATTGAAAGAGGATATGGACAAGTTGGTTCACTTGTTGAAACTTTCTCAGGAGAAAACACAAGTGGAGGCCACAGCTATTCACTTCCACAAAAGTTCAACAGTAGATGTCACATCTATTCACTTCCATATCAATTCAAAAGTTTTTTTTATTTAAGCAATTCTTTTCAAGGTGGCATGTTTGATAATGTTCAATACTTGATGATGACAGACATACAACCTTTCGAGCATTACTTCTTCAAAATCATCTCTCACAGTTTTCCTGTATTGAAAAGCTTGTATATATATAACAATGAACCACAGAAAGAGAAGCAACAATCCATGACATTTATCACATTTTCTCATCTTATTTTACTCAATCTTTATTCCTCTCATGTAGATTATGCTGAACAATTTCTCTTTGATAAACACTGTCATTTGCCTTGTTTGCTGAACCTTTATATCGGCTATAATTCACTTGCACTGGTCACAAACAATTTCACCAATGATGCAACACGTGTCACCTGTGGTAAATTGACCTATCTTCAAATAAAGGAACCGTTTGTTCCTCCAAAAAATTTTCATAAATATTTTCCTTTATTGTAAATATTATTTCTGTTAAAACTTAAATCATGTACTTTGACTGGTTAAGTGAATATGTCTCTTATTGTCCAAGAAACTGATGAAGACTAATTATAAATTGATAGAATTTTGATCGTCTAATGGTTAATTTTCATTCATTTTTCGTTTATTTACCATTATTTTGTTGTCATTTTTTCTATGAAATAAAACATTGATAATAATTGAAGAATAAAAATAAAAATAGAATTTATTTACATAAATTAATAATGTGTGATGCAAAAGTAATGAGACAAATGTTGTCCTATATTTTTTCTTGATCAAAAGGAACCAAAAGAAAAATTTTTTACCAGAAGATAAAGCTTTTTTTCCTCTTTCGGTTTGTACATAACTTATTTTTATCACACGCTTATGAATGAAATGACGCAACAGGTGAGGAAAGCACTCTCACAGCAAGTTTGCATTTTTCATAGAATTCAGAATAACGATACAAAATATCAGCTCCTGTATCGCTTCGATAAACATGTTTTCAAAGGAATATTTTATTATCATCAGATAGGAAAGACGACTATAAGTTACACAGTGAGTTTTGATTACAGAACGGGATATATATAAGTTTGCACAGAAATACTTCCTCTATCCAATAGTGTATGTATTATCGAATTCTATTGCGTACCATGAAAGGGTGGAATTGGCTTGATTTCAACTCAAAATTTACCCTTTTATGGTACGCAACGGATTTCGATAATATGTACACCATTGGATAGAGGAAGTATTTCTGTGCAAACTTACATACATCCCATTTTGTAGGCAAAACCTTATAGTCGGCTATTCTCCTCTTTCAAACTGTATATTATTTATATGAATCAAACACTAAAATAAAATGTTGTAATAAAAACCAAAAACATTTGCGCAAGAATTTTGCGATTTTGATATAGACTAGTTAGTAACCAGTCAAACGAGTGATCGGCGATCATTTGTGAATGATTTTTTATTGATCAAACAGTAGAAAATCCGTAGCTTTTGTCATAAACTCCATTTTGAGCAGACTAAAAACTATAGAAATGGCTGATTTTCAAGCGTAATCAGAACCAATGATCCCATATTATGAAAGAAAATGGATACCAAAGTTTTCGATACGATCTTTGAAATAAAAGACCTTTTCATAACCCAAAAATAGTCACTTCTACAGATGTCTAATCATATGTTATCACCATGATGATTCCTTTTTTCAAAAATAATTTATGGTAGTTATGTTTCAGTTGTGTATAGACAAGATAAACACAAAAGTACGGAAAATCACGGACAGATGAGATTGACAAAAATTTCAATTAAATTGAATTTTTATGTCACTCAAGACGAATGGCTCATTTTTGACTCTTTCTGTACATTCATAATGAGATGATTTCATTCCAATTACACATATCAATGTTATCGTGAGCATTTATATAAGCTATTCCCATAGTCTACTCGACACTAGCTCTGCTGGATCAGGACCAAAGAGTAAAGAGTTAGAAACTTTGAAAAACTGCGAAGTCTTTTAAACAGCTTCTGCACCAAAAACCATTGAAAAGTCATGAATCTTAACAGAAGCCCCTCTAAAAATTTTGAATGCGTGGATAGTTTAGAAGCTCCGAGGATCTCTAACGAAAAACGGAGAACTACACATGAGAAAAATAAATCTGAAAATTTAAACTGAATCATGAATATAGAAAGATGAAAAACATCTTGAGATATAAACTGTTCCAAACTATCAACGATATTCATTTCTTCCAAAAATCTTCTATTCATCTCAATCGAATTTGTACAGTTCAATATACAATCAACAAAAAACTTTACTAGTAATCTCTATCGACAATAATAGAATTCTGCATTACACATTTATTTTTCAAACTTTTATGAAATTATGAAAAATATCTAATGAGTTTTATAACAATTATATTTCATAGGATTGAACAACAAATGAAGAATATCTTTACTATTTATAGGATGAATCAAATAAATATTATAAGCCAATTTCATAATATTATTTGCTAAATAAACAATAAATCGAGAAATATAGCTCACTAATTAATGTTCAAAATGGCAATTTGCGTTTGTTTTCTCTTATAGAATACGAAGAGAAAATGTCGCAAAACCTTTTTTACAATCAAGTACAAGTTCGATCCACTTCAATAGAATATTTCAGCTACAAAATTCAAACAAAGATAAAGATAGAAAGTTCGATCTTAGGATCACTTAATCAAAATAAAATTGAAAATTTATTATATAACCAGTCTCATGAACAAAAGAAAGAAGTTTGAGCCACGAAAACTGAGACAATTCTGTCACGGCATAAAAAATCAATTCATATGGTATACTTTTTTCACGACGTCGTATGAGTGGGTGTGGGTGTGGGTGTGAGGGTGTGGGTGAGGGTGTGGGTGAGGGTGTGGGTGTGGGTGTGGGTGTGGGTGTGGGTGTGCGGTGTGTGGGTCCTTTATTCTCTCACACCCATACACACCCACATCCACCCCACACCCACACCCACATCCACCCCACACCCACACCCACACCCACCCACACCCACACCCACACCCCACACCCACACCCACATCCCACCCACACCCACACCCAAATTCAAGTTAACATAGATGAGTTTCGTACCAGCAGTTCTATCAGAGTTGATCGACTAATCTTTTTGTTAACCTACACAACAATATATTTTTTCTAGACACATTTTCCTATTCGCTCATTCTCAAGCAAATATGTTGAAGTGTTATTTTTATTGTTTCGTTATTTGCTTAACTGACATGTGGCCTGATATAGTGTAGAGAAACCAAAAAAAAACAACATTTTCTCTCCCTCGATGTATTTTTAAATTCAGAGGTGTGCCAACGATAACACAAAGAACATCGTCGTTCTTTCAAGTCATTTTAACCTGAGTGTATGTTTGCAACAGCAGCAGAAAAACATGATTATTACCATTACGTTGTTGGTCGTTTTCATTGGTTTTCTCTTTGCCTATATTCGGACTTTAAAATCTCGCTACGAATATTTCATACGTCGAAATATTCCTGGTCCATCGCCTCAATTATTCTTTGGCAACTATCGAAGTACTTGGAGTGCAATTAGCTTTCACAATCAAATTATAAAATGGACTGAACAGTATGGACCTATTTATGGTATTTTCCAAGGAACATATCCGATTTATATTGTGTCCGATGTGAATTTCTTGGAAGAAGTATACATTAAACAGTTTTCATCATTTAATTCACGTCGCAATAATATTCTTAATCAAATTCTCAATAGTAACGGAGGAAATTTAATGTCTGCACACGCCAATCAATGGCGACGTCAACGACATGTTATCAATCCGACATTTACGGCAACAAAATTAAAAGCTATGATACCACTCATGAATAAATGTATCAGATCGATGATGACAAAAATCGAGGAGGCAAAGGATAGAGAATTTAATATCTATACATTGTACAAACGACTGACTATGGATGTTATATGTAAGTAAACAACTATGATCATCGTGAGGGTGGATGAGACGAGAAAGTGCATCATCGATTAACCCTCACCCTTTGGAAAGAAAGATGACTAAAATAAATGTTTGTTAATTGTAGGGCACTGTGCATTTGGTATTGATACTGACATGCAAAATGATGTGGACAATATTTACATGAAAAAATCATTAGCCTGCTTTGCACGAGATTTGGAGAAATTGCTCATTGTTCGACTATCCAATCTCATGCCATTTCTTACACCCTTACTCATCCAATTTGCCAATACTTCTTTCAATGTGATTAATTTTCTTCGTGCTCGGGTGCCTTTTCTTGTACGTAATGTCCAAGAATCGCCTCCTCTGTGGATTGCCAAACAAGTTGACAGTGTAGTAAAAGACAGATTAACATCGGGAAAGAAACGAATAGATTTACTTCAACTGATGTTAGATGCAGCAACAAACGAAAAAATTAAGGTACGGTTTTTTTCTAATCACAGAGCTTTGAGCTATATGTCAATTAAAAACTCGATAGTGATTTATACAAAAAGATGAACGTATGATATTATAGGATAATGAAACTGGCGAAATGATGTCGAAACATCTTCGTTACAAAGAAGTCTTAATGAATGCTATGCTCTTTATGATTGCTGGTTATGAATCGACTTCACTTAACATTGCATTTGCTACCTATGAATTGGCTAAACATCCTGATATACAACGTAAATTACAGGCAGAAATCGATGAACATTGGAAAGAAGGAGAAGAAGAACCTGATTATGATGTGATTGCTAGTATGACATATATGGATATGTTCGTACGAGAAGTACTACGCATGTATTCCATTGTACATAGAGCATTTAGTCGACAGTGCAATGCATCAACAGTCATCTGTGGTCACCAGATTGAAGAAGGTGAGATAATATTTGCATAGTCATACTCAGTTTGATTTCTCATCAAATATAGCAGAAAGGAAATATATCTGCACAAGACTTCTATAGATCTATCTCATTCGCTTTCGTTTTACAGATGTTATAATCCAGGCAGATGTCTATTCGATTCATCATAACATCAATTTATGGGGACCCGAAGATCCGAATCTTTTTATTCCGGAACGTCATGCAGTCAAACGACATCCTCTTGCTTACATGCCATTCGGTGCTGGACCACGCAATTGTGCAGGGATGAGATTTGCTTTGATGGAAATCAAAATGGGTTTGGCCAATCTGTTATATAAGTACACAATTCTACCTGGTGACAAGCTTGAAGAAGGTGCAATTCGACAAGAAACAATAACTCTTTCGCCAAAGGCAATCAATATACGCGTTGAAAAACGATCCAAATGACGTTGTAACTATTTTAAGATGTAATCATAGACATTTTACATATTCACTTTTAAAAAGTTTTTTTTCAATTGAATTTATTTACTTTCGTGATTCTATTATTCCTTTATTGTAATCCAATCTAATTGACATAACATTAAAGCTGAAATTATTCTATAGAGATTTGGAGTAAAAATTACAAGAAAAGTTTGAATGAAAGGGAATCGACATACATTGAAATAGGAATAACTCAATGTTAAAGTAAGTTAATGAAATTTTTGTGGAAAAACAAACTATTTGATTAAATAAGCAAAAACAAGTTCAATAAAAACGAATATGACAAGTGTAAATATTAAATAATTTCAAATCTGATACAATAACGATCATTTTGAGGAGTCGATTGATAAATGTCGTACATAGGTTTCCGTCCATATGGTAGCCAATAATTAGATTTGTTGGCAATTCTTTCATGTACTTCTTCTTGATTTACAAACGAGCCCCAATGAAGATTCATCAAGGAAATTTCAACAATTGTAAATCCATCTATATAGACTCGTTTAAGTTTAGCTAGATATGTGCTTAAACATGTTTCCCAAAATTATGAATTGATCATTATAGGACATCCACCTCGAAAAGTCCTGATTTTCAATCGACGTAATTGAGGAACACTTTGAAATAAATAAATAATAAATTTCTCATTAAAATGATCAACCATCATTATATCCAAATGAATAGGTGTTCCATTTACAGATATTGATGAGAAAAACGCTGGTTCAAGATAATGATCATGAAACTCGACTTCGATTTGAGAAGGAATTTTCGGAAAACAAAGAAGGAAATCCGAAAAAAAGTAGGAAAAGAAGGATTTTTCAGGAGTCCTGCGCTGCAATGGTAAAATTATAATAGAAGTCGAATAATAGATGATAGGTACGAGCTCAGACGAGAACGAACTTCAAACATAAACAGTTGACCTCTTGTCATAGATATATCTGTGTTGCCATCCTTCCCATATCTCAATAGTTGTCTCGATAGTTCTACAGGTAACATACGTCCCTCGTCACATGTATTGCTATTTCCTGTATCGATCATGAAATTCGTGTATTGTCAAAAATATCTTTTGATATAATATCGGAGATGTATTGCCATTATGAAAGTATCAGATTTTCTTGCTGATCAATAAACGGGCTAAAATCTTTAGGGTAAACTACTAGTACAGTTGGAAACCCGACAGTGCAAGCAGAAAAATTTTCCAGAATTTCTTGGACTAAATCATTGGAACCAAACCGAAAAATCGCATGCAGGTATGATGATCAAAATCTTTGATTTTGAAAAAGTGAAAATAAGTATGCTAGGATTGTGAGACATTGTTGAGTCGGCAATGTTGCGTGTTTTTTAAACTAACAAAATGAATTTGAAATTGTCTGATGATGTATTAATTTTCATCTTATACGAACATTTAATGTCAGATCGAACACATATCCGCAGCTTTTTTGGCATAAACAACCACATAAGTTTTTCAAATCGACGCTGCTTTACAATCCTAGCATACTTATTTTCACTTCTACAAAATTGAGAGTTTTAATCTCGTACTCCTTAAAGATTTTTTGATATGGTTCCGATGACTTGTTCAAGAAGCTGTGGAAAATTTTTCTGATGGTGCTGTCCAGCTTGAGTCATGTCAGAAGTTTATAATAGAAATTCTGGGCCGTTTATTGACTCTCAAGAAAAGTTGTTCATTTTGTAGCGCAGAAATCTCGCTCTGTCTTCGAAAAATTTGCAACGCAATACAAAGCGCCTCTTTCTCTCTGTTACTCTTGCACATAGCAAAACAAAGAGTTACCTTAAACATGTCATTTTCGTCTAGAAGTGAGATGCTTCAGATAATTCGAAGCTAAGTTACCTGGTTAACTAAAATTTTGGCATTGAAAGCTGAATTCAACCCATAAATGTTTTCCAGCTTGTAGAAAGATATTTTCCGTCATCTGATATTTCTACTATATCCCACTCGGATTAAGATGCCTTACTATCTCTCGATCCAGATACGCTTTTTTTCGAGTTTCATGTTCTAAACGAGGTTCCAATGTGATTTTGATGTTCTCCATCGATTTGAGTTAACTGGACGAGTGTCCAGTCATAACTTTTTCGACCATAAAAGTCAAAAAATGTCCCTGAAACCTCAAGTCGGTCAAAACTTGAAAAGCATAAGAAAAACTATAGTTCAAGCGGAGAAGTCTTGGACATCTATGGAATTGATTGAACAACTTAAATTGCGTGAAAAATTGACAATAGATTTTGAGTTGAATTGAAACTAATTTACACGCATGACCTATTCAAGTTCACAAGCATCATCTAACGTACTGTCAAATGTTGGTTGCCTTCCTCCTTTTGTTTATCAACAACCATCCAACAAAAACTGTGTTTCTTGTGTTATGCTGATTAAAAATCTCAGCCGAACATTGATACGCGGCGAAAGATCATTCACGCAAGTATCTGTAAGACTGGCTATGATGAGCTCAGCTTTTGTCATGCTTGGTCACTGAGTACTGAGTATATGTCCGCAATTTTGAGCAGCAACCGAATTTCAGCGAAGAGTCATGATAAGTATCTTAAATTCTGCACATATATATCGAGTAAACCAAAGTCCTACATGCATACCTTAACATAAGCGTGGTGGACTTTTCATTGAATTTGCGGTGAGTTAAACATTTTCAGGCGCTCTGAGAGTCAGCGTTTCTAACAGCAGGTGTACCAAGCATTAAAAAAAAATGTACACATCACATACTGCTGCCAATATACATATTGATTTATACTTCGCTCAGGCAAGTTTCTTGATTAAAGTATAAAGTAGTATGTATATTAGCAGTAGTATGTGATCTGTATATTTTCTTTATGCTTGGTACACTTGCTGTTAGAAACGCTGCTCAGAGCTCTCTATCTAACATAAGCATTGCTCATATGTTTTCCGACGATTCTGAGTGAGTATTTGTATGAAAACTAAAAAAAGAAGGAAAAGAAGGATTTTCCAAGAAACGAAGGACGAAGAAGGATGCTCTGAAAAAAGAAGGACCGCTGCGAGGTCTGTCTCTGTAATTTATGCAACAGTAGTAAAACCTATTCACTCAGTATTCTCTAACTACACGATCAATCTGACTAAGCACTGTATATATTATTACTGTAGAACGGCTCACAGTACTTACGGATGATTGAATGAATAATAGTTCCCATAGCATGCTCATCTGCATGCATCTCTTACATATCCGTGTTTGCTTTGGAATCTTGTATCAGGTTCATTTTCGATAATAGACAAATCGAAGTACGTACAATAGTTTAATATTGAATAATTATTCATTAGATTAATTATTCTTTCAAATGATTCTTATATTCATTGTCATTCTACTTATTTTGAGTTCACAAATTCATGAAGAGATTTTTATTAAGTGATAATGAAATAAGGATAGAGATTATGAAACAAATAAGAAATAAATAAGATTTGACCAAAAAAGACTCACAAACAATAATAAGAGACAAGCTTGAATATTTGAAGAAAGAAGACAATGAAAACCTAGTTCATATATTTGTTAAATGTTAACTTCTTAGTTGAATTCGATTGAAACAACGATATGCAATACGTTTAAGTGCTACACGATATACTAAACCAGTGAGTGTGTACAGATAAAAAGAAGTTGAATGTGTGACACAGACAAGCAATATAAGCAAAGAATATGACAAGTTTTCGACAGCCACACGATATCTATTTTTAGGAAGATCCGATGTTAGACTGGCATACGAACGATAAATTCCAAATGGTAAATCTAGAAGAAGAACAATCAATACCTAAAAAAAAAATCATTCAGCAATATTTTCATAATCAATCTTCGATTAAAATATATTCAAGATTGGCTAACTGTAAAAGTAATTTCAATTAGCAGGTACTGACAAGTATCAAGAAGATCTTTTTTTACTCTTAATATTGACTGAGTATTAGTCACAGGATTCAAGAGATAAAATACTAGATGATCAACTGATATACGTTTTGAACATTACAAAATGATTCTAAATAAAATTGGAAAAAAAACGTGACATCTACCTGAACTAATAACATTCGAGTGAGATTGCGATCACTATTTCGCATCGGTAGTCTACTATTGTTTGTGTTGTTCGAATTAATGAAATTCGGTACTGGTTGAACAATTCTTAATCGAACATTACGAATAGTTAATGAACCAAAAATGGCTAAAAAAATGCTAGGCAAAATGATATCGAATGATAAAGCTGTCCAATCATTAAAGAGTCGACAAGGAATATTGCGTCCATAGCAGGCGACTGGAACATTAGGAACACTTGCTTCGAAACAATAGATAACTTCGCTAAATAGAAGTGCAAAGAAAATGAAAATTCCGACCAAAAAACGCCTTGCCGTTCGACGTGTACTCAATCGGCGATAAATAACTGAATGATGACTACACAAGAATCGATCAATATTTGCTCCAACAAGACACCAAATACCCATCGCCCAAGTAATATTGAGAAAATACAGACGAATTTTACACATAGGTTGATTTTCGTTTGGCCAATTAACGTTATAACTAAAATTTAGTTTAAAGCAAAAATC